TGACCTAGTACATGGTGGGAGGTGGGGGAAGGGGAGAGGAGAGAGAGGGAAGGAAGGAGGGGGCTCACGGTGTGTGACACACCTTTTGGGGGCAGGACACAATTTAAAAGAAATTTCACCTGATAAATGCAATCAATGTAACCTGGTTCTTTGTATCCTCAATGAATCGCCAACAATAAAAAAAGAAAGAAAGAAAAGGTAGATTTCTTGCAAATTTAGTGTCTATGGAAAATTGCATTGAGTAGCCTTTTTATTATGGAGATTTTGGGGAATACTCCAAGACTTAGGAGAGGATTCAAGAAAACCAAGCAAAGAAAACAATAAGATCATCTTAACAAAAAAAAAAACAATTATGGGAAAATGGAATTATACATCACTAATTGAGCAGTAAGTTGTCACAATAATGAAAACATTAATGCTTAACCATAACGTATGATATACTGAGAGAATGGGGGAGGGAAAGCAAGAGTATAAAATAACTAAGTCTTCATTGCCATATGTAGAAGTCAGTAGTCATTATCTAAAGTCAATGACTTGAAAAACAGCAATATTTCTTTATTATTTGGAAACGTGCCAGAAAGCAGGAGGAAAATTAAAAGGTTAATATTACTCAGAGTAGCAGAATATGAGAAAAATTTAGCCCTTGTATCCAGGGGCCAAGGTTTACTGATAACTCTGTTATAGATTTTTACTACTATTTGACCTTTTGACTTTGATAAATATTGAAGATATTTTTTAAAACTAGATGAGAAAAAGATATTTTTAGAAAGTAGATGAGACATCTAAGAGACTTCTAATGCTGCCCTGGAGTTTCCTTTTAACATCATCCTGGTGGCTCTCTTCTGACTTGCTTCTATGTTGAATGGCTGTTCCGGAAGCAAAGAAGTAACACCCTCATTCTTGATTTTCTTATGGTTTCAGTGGATCCTAAGCCCTACTTGCTTCCTTTGCTCTTAGAATACTAAAGACCAAAGTATTTTTTCCTGGTATCCATTTTTCATCCATTGTGGAATATGCAGATACTACCTTTTTGATTTCACTTTTCAAGTGTGATGTCAGCCCTCTGCTTATAAAAATGAGTTGATGTTTTATGTATCAGAACTAAACACACACACACACACACACACACACACACAAATTTAGGGAGCCATTGAGGTTTTCTTCTAATAGGAAAGGGAGCTGTACAACTCCAATATTCAGTTACAGAAAAAATAATTGTCAATGTAGATGTCAAAACATAACACTACTACAATAAATAAATAAATAAATAAATAACACTACTTAAGGTTCTAATGGTCAAGACCTCTGGCTTATTGAAGCAAATTGAAATAACTGACTCGCTTTTCCATTTCCAAATATTATGCATTCCATTTACTTCATTGATATAAATTTTATCTTCTTGTGAAAAGCAGAGATATACTGAAAAAATGACATATATAAGGCTACTAGTTAGAGTTTGGGACTGTTATTTAGTTTTATTTTTCACAGAGGGATAATTTTTGAAAAATTATTAACTGTGTAGTGAGGCTTAGCAGGATTTCAGGCCTATAGTAGGGATTCTGGGCAAGAGTTTCCAAGAGCAAATACTTCATTTAAACACTTCCTAATATTTTTCTTTATCATGGAGACTACATTTTTACATTAGTAACGTATTAAACACTAGTAACAGGAAGAGAATATCTTATATTCTCTCATCTCTACTTATTTGCTATGGTCGCTTTATAGCAAATCAATATTTCATAGCTTCCTCTTGCTCTCAGTCTTTTTCATCTTGCTTTTTCTCCTAAGATTTCTATAAAACTTGCTATCCCCTGCTTAGACCTATTCTTTTTCTTACCACTTTAGAAAGGAAGGACTCAAGCCAAGAAGGGTTTGCACTGTGCCTGACACTCAAGGCCTATGGAAAGTAATTTAGCAACATCTCTTGACTGCAGGCAAGTTTGAATCGTCAGCTTAAGAAAATGAAAATGAAAAACAAGACCACAGTAGATTCAAAACACACTCTACATTTTATATTTAAGCAAAAAATGCCCACAACAAAAAAAAAAAATTTAAATCAAGTATTTGCGGTGATGCCCATTCTATATCCCCAGGGAATATTCTGCTGTAAATAGACACATGAGCCAGTCTCATGCAGCATCTTTCCTGAAATTGTTAAATAGTGAGAACTAATGTTCAAAATAATGCCTAAGAAACTAGAGTAAATGAAAATTTACTTTCAGTATCATCAAAGAATAAAAATTAGATTAAACAATGGATGGATCTTTTCCTGGTTTGGGGATCAGGGTGATATTTGCTTTGTAGAATGTGTTGGGAAGTATTCCTTCTTTTTTTATGTTTTGGAAAAGGTTAAGTAATATAGGTACTAGTTCCTCTTTAAAGGTTTGGTAGAATTCTGATGTGAAGCCATCTGGTCCCAGACTTTTCTTTTTGGGGAGATTTCGGATAGTTGATGCTATTTCAGAACTTGATATAGGCCTGTTCAACATTTCCACTTCTTTCTGGCTATGTCTAGGAAGGTGGCATGCTTCCAAGTATTAGTCTAGTGCCTTCAGATTTTCACATTTCTGAGAATAGAGTTTTTTTTTAAACCAATTTATAATTACTCACCCTTTCTTATGAAAGATAGATCACAACTATAGCCCAGGATGAAGACGGGGGGAGGTTTGATAGAGGGAGGGCAAATGGTGGGACCACACCCATGGAGCATATTGCAAGGGTACATCTATCAAGTATAGAACATAAATGTCATAATACAATAATTAAGTAAATGAGGCGAAAGCTATATTAATTAGTTTGATGTAATCACTCCAAATTGTATAAAAAATCAACACATTGTACCCCACAAATGCATAAATGTATTCATGATCTATGTGTATATGACTTAATAAAAGGGGGGGAAGTCCTTAAAATAATTAAAATCATATATTCCATCAAAAAATCTCAAATATTTTTGATGAATATTATTTCAAATAAAGGGTCTTTATTTGACTCTTATTTGAAAAAAGTCTTTTATTTCTACCAGGGTCTTGGTTAGCAGAAAACTATAGTTAATTCTATCTAAACAATTCTGTTAACAGGCTTTGCTCTTCTGATATTTATATTAATAGTTTACAAGTGATACCTCCATCCAACTGATAGATCACGCCAGAAGGCTAGAAATCAGGTTGACTTTTTCCCTTTCCAATAGACCTTCTAAATTCTGCTAACTGTACTTTTAAAATACTCATTATGCCCAACTACAATTCTTTGTCTTTTTCACTGATATTTCTACTGTACTAACCTCTGGTACCCTGCCATGGAGACCCAGCTGGCCTCACTACACTCCCCTGTCCTTGTTCCTCTCAGCTTAAAACCCTTTACTGATTCATCCTTAGGACAAATTTCAACCTCTGAGTATGTATGTCAAGACCTGCCATGATTGACTGATTGATTCCACTCCCTCCTTGCATGTTTTGATGTTAGTTTCAACCTGCCCTCTCTTTCGTCCCTCCAGCTACACTCAAGCTCCAACCTCTCACTTACCTGCTTTCCCCCATACTGCCCTGCTTCATCCAACCTGTCCCCTCCCTGTTGGCATCTCCTCTGCATCATTCAAATCTTAGCTTATATGCCATTTCCCCCAGAGAAGCCTCTCTTGTTCTTTAATCTGAATTTGTTAAATGTTGTAACCACCTTGTTCCCCTGACTAGATTGTGTCTCATTTGCAACTGTGTGATAGGCAGAAAATGCAAATAGTTTTAGAAGGTAACAAATTTTTAAATGAGAAAATACTGTCGATTATTTGTAAAAATCAAGGAAATTTCAATTTCCCATTTCAATGGTACATTTAGAGGCAGCTAATAAAACATTAATGCAAGGTCTAAAATTTGCTTTGGACTCAATTTTTTTAATATTAAAAACAATCATAAGTAGCATTTCTTACCTATATTTTAAGTTATAAATGATTTGATCAATTTCTGGTCAAATATTTGTGTATGACAAAAGTTAACACACAATTATAAAGCTTGACAAAAGATTCACATCAATTTTTCATAATAGCTTGAGCGACCAACGGTATTAATGGGAGCAAGGGATAAATAGATTTCAAGGTAGATTCCTTTGACCAAATATATTTATATATTGTTTTATATTCCCAAGAGTATTATGTAAAGATACTTTAATAACACACTATTTCTCTCTCTAAACAATTCCAACAGGTATCATTCTTTCCTTTCCATAAACAGAGGGAGTGTAAACGGTAATGTGAACACCACAATAAATGCTGGTGTTCATGCAGAGAGAAAGGAAGCCTTATGCCCAAAGCCTATTAAGTTACTGACCTAGAATTAGAACCCAGGACTCCAAGTTCAGAACTCTTTGCTCCACCACTTGCTCCACTTATGTGCCATAATCTTGAGAATTCAAAGTATTAATAACTTCTAGGGCATTCTTGCTCTCTTTAGACATTCTTACTTTAAACTGCAAATAATTCTTTTTTTTTGCAGTTTTTGGCTGGGGCCAGGTTTGAACCTGCCACCTCTGGTATATGGGGCTGGTGCCCTACTCCTTTGAGCGATAGGCCCCACCCTAAACTAATAATTCATTCTAGGAACATTATATATTAATATATACTTATGTATAAATTAATTTACCATATAATTTTCCCCTTAAGACAGAGGTGCTCTGAACTAAAAGAGACTTATAACCAGTGATGGGTGACTGAGAAAAAAAAATGTTATTTAAAAAAATAGGAGTAAAAGAAAAAAATTAAGGAAACATTGCATTCTTTGCTCTTTTTTTTTACCAACTCCACATAAAACAGGTTTATATAAATATACATTATTCAAGTTGATCCTTACAACAGATATGTGGATTGCAAATCGTTAGTTAAGGAATCTAACTCTCAGAGCCATATTACATGAAATAGGGACAGAGTCCCATTCTTCAGACCCCAAAACATTTTTCTTTTTCCAACCCCACAATGCTCATGCTCATAGACCATCTCACTGGATACTCACATTTCATCACACCTTGAATTTCATAAACAGGCTTGAGAATCAGATTACCATCAAAGTCTTTAGGAAATGGATTTATTGAGTTCCACTTATTTGAAAAATCTGTAAGTTTCACAGTTCGTGTTCTGTTCTTGGGAATCTTCCATTCAACAATCTCCTTCAGGGTATAAATATGTTCATCTTCACACTCATAGAATTCTCCTTCTTGTGACAAAGGCAGGGTAAATGAGTGATTTTGATGGTTCCTTACTATTCCACAGTTCACCCTTATTTCTCCATCGAGCTCTTCAACTGAGTTGAGTACAATTTGCTCCCCTTGCTTTATGATGAGATTCTCTAGTTTTATATCCTTCTGATGATAGAAGCAAGGATGCCCTAGTCTACTTGCTCCAATATGAATGGTCCTTGTAATTTCTTCCATAGTAAGGTACGGAGTTTTATCAGCCACAATCTTAAAAAGACCTAAGAACAAAATTGTGTGAATTAGAGTTCTTACAACTACAGTTTTCATAAAAAAACCACAATGTGACTGCAATAAAACAAGGATTGTATAGCTTTTAGAAGTATTATACCTCCCTTTTCAATAAATGGTGCTGGGAAAATTGGACAGCCACATAGAGAAGGAGGAAACAGGACCTCTATCTCACCCCATTATCAAAAATTAATTCAAGAGAAATAAAAGACTAAGACATAAGGCACAAAACTATAAAAATTCCAGAAGGAAATATAGAAAAAACACTTCTAGATATTGGCCCAGGAAAAGAATTTATGACCAAGACCCCAAAGGCAATACAGCAACAAAAAATAATAATAAAGAAACAGAATTTAATTAAATGATAAATCTGCACAGCTAAAGAAATAATCAACAGAACAAATAGATAACATCCACAACTAAAGCAAATATTGTTAAACTCTACATCTGATAAAGGGCTAATATTCCAGAATCTACAAAGAACTCAAACAAATCAGCAAGACAAAAGCAAACAACATCATTAAAAAATTGGGCAAAAGACATAAATAGAAGTTTTTCAAAAGAAGATAGATAAATGCCCAACAAACACATGAAAAATGTTCTATATCACTAATAATCTGGGAAATGCAAATTAAAATCACAATGAGATATCATCTTACCCGTTAGAATGGCTTTTATTAAAAAGTTAAAAAACAACAAATGCTGGTGTTCATGCAGAGAGAAAGGAATGCTTATACACTATTGGTGGGATTGCAAATTAGTACAAACTTTATGGAAAACAGTCTGGAGAGTTTTCAAAGAACTAAAAGTAGACCTACCATTTGATCCAGCAATCCCACTACTGGGTATTTACCCAAAGAAAAAGAAATCATTTTATCAAAAAAGACACCTGCACTCCATTGGTTATTGCAGCACAGTTCACAATGTAAAGATGTGGAAACAACTCAAGTGCCCATTAATTCATGAGCAGATTAACAAAATGTAATATATAGGTATGCCATGGAGTAGTATTCAGCTGTAAAAAAGGATGAATTAATGTCTTTTGCAGAGATTTGGATGAAACTGAAGGCCATTATATAAACAAAGTATCTCAAGACTGGTAGAACAAAACCACATGTACTCTCTAAAAAACTGGAACTAACAGATAGGCAAAAATGTACACAGAGGGAAATAAAAATCATTGGAAATCAAGCAGGGGGAATGGGGGAGAAGGGAAGGAACTGAAAGCTACCTAAGGCTTACAGCATGCACTATTTGGGTGATGGGCATACTTACAGCCGTGACTCAAGCACGACAAAAGCTCTCTGTGTAAAAAAAACACGTGTGCCCCCTTCAAACAGTATATTCAAAAACTTACAAAATGATATATCTTGGAAAACCATTAATTAGTTTACTTAACAAATGTATTCTGATTAAATTAATCTGTGTATTAAATCATAATTAACCAGATTATGTTTTCTTATATAGAGAGACTTCTTCTGATCAGTTATTTTTGAAATTTCTTTTTGTTCATATATAAAAAAAGGAATTTAGGTGATTTTTACATATAAACTTCCTGGAAAAGTGTGAATGATGTAATCCTGGGAAGGAATGAATATACAGTGGGTACAAACTTTAAGAAATTGAAGTGCTCGTCGGCTGAGTGGTGTGCTTGAATGCAGTGAGGAAAAGAAACATTTACTTTGAAGGAATTTCTTATTTAATTATGCTGTGTCTCAGGGAAAAGCCAATAAAATAGTATTCTTGAATTTGCTGCAGTAAATGAATTTACGTGTGTGTGTGTGTGTGTGTGTGTGCGCGCACTTGGGTATTTCATCTCACTTGTCTGTATATGAAGATTTATTTCCAAGAGCCCACAGTCATTATCAGGGTATAGAAAATTCAGCAGTTTTTGTGAAATAAGTTTTAAGAAAATAGCTACCTAGAATCCCATAAAAGACAGAGACACATAATTTTATTTCTATATTGATGACATAAGTCACAGAAGAATTAATTCAGCATCATCTTTCTTGGGGAATAAAGTTCACCTACAGTAATAACAGACCTAAAATAATATGAAGTGGGGAAAGTCTCAAACCCTAAGGGCCACCATTATTCCAAGTTAATCACACTACTCAGAGCTGCCTTCTTATATGTCTCTATTGCAAGAAAAATGTATTTATGGATCTGTGTGTTTTCCCTTGGAACATGATGAAGTGCACAGTTTAGCATACTAAGTGGCAGAATATAGAAAAAATATTTGATTAACTTATCTGTTTTTATACTAGTGCAGCCAATCCAAAGAGTCCTTCCTTTAAACCAGTCATTTAATACCATAAAACTAAGGCAATTTATAAATTAAATATGATGGCATTTGAAACTTCAATTTCACAATGAAGGAAGTTAAATATAAACTAAAGCATCATTGGGATTGATCAGCTCTAAATTTGACCAGTGTTTCCTCCATCTATTTCACAAAGAGTATAATAATTCTATGCTGGGAAAAATATGCTTTATTATTCTGCTTAAGAAAAACAAAACACATTTCAAGAGCTGAGCAATCATGAGACTTATTATAAAATAAGCCAATATGTAATCTTTATAAATAAGTTAGAAAGCAGAAAGAAAATAGATTTCCATTTCCACCTTGGATTATATTAGCTTTTAAAATGGATTTTGTTATTATTTCTAAGTTGGTAGAAATTGTTCACAAGAAACATATTACTGAAGAAATAAAAATTATAAGGAAATACAGTAAATTGAGCTGTTGAAAATTAGTCAATAAGTAGATTTAATCTTTTGAATCTCCTCCCTGAATCTTAGATTTTGGGGGAGTTTATATTTTTAACCAATTCTTAATGATTTCTAATCATTATTAATAATAACAGCAACACTAAATTTGTTTAGAAATTTATGTTTCCAAAATTTTTTTTCATATGCATCATTTATCCTTGCAATAGTCTTTTGAGGAAAATAAACAATTATTACTGGGTGATATGAAGATGGCTTGGACTCATGGCTCTAGATTTTGAAATCAGAGCTTTGAGATCCAAATCTTGCATCTTGTCACCAAACTAGGTTGCTTTCCTGTTACATGTATTTCAAGGACATTATTCATGAGAATAGCATGATTGTCTCCATTCACAGTACACGTTTATGGGTCTCATCAGCTGGCCTTCCCTTCAAATGGATCAGCTGTCCCCAAATGCCTTAGTGTGAGAAGAACAAAAACAATCTCCTGGTTCAATGTGCAGAATTTATGCTTATCAGAATTTTTGACTTTTTTCCTTCATCGATCTCCACCCAAATAGGGAATAATTCTAAAAATTAAATTCTCCAAAATTATACCATTATTAGCATGAAATCATGGTGAAGATTTTATGATCTTTCATTCCTGCTTTCTCAATTTCAACCAAATATATTTTCTCCATTTATGAGATAAGGAATCTACTAATTCTCATCCTTTTTTCGTATCATCCAAAATTAGGATTTGAAAATATTAGCAGTTTTGAATGTGTTGGAAATTTACATATATGATACAATTTCATTTTCAAAATGGCAATATGAAATAGCTCATATTAATAAACAGAAGTAAACACAAACATTCACAGATAATGACATGACGTTTTGAAGAGAGGCTATAAGGATACAAAATCAATGTCCACAAGTCAGTTGCCTTTGCATATGCCAACAACAGCCTAATTAAGGACATGACTTCCTTCACCATAGCCCCAAAGAAAATGAAATACTTAGGAATATATCTAACAAAAGAGGTGAAGGACCTCTATAAAGAAAATTATGAAACCCTAAGAAAGGAAACAGCAGAGGACTTAAACAAATGGAAGAACATACCATGCTCATGGCTGGGAAGAATCAACATTGTTAAAATGTCTATACTTCCCAGAGCAATCTACCAATTCAATGCCTTCCCTATTAAAATACCAACATCCTATTTTCAAGACTTGAAAAAAGTGATTCTGCATTTTGTATGGAACCAGAAAAAAAACTGGTATAGCTAAGGCAGTTCTTAGTAATAAAAACAAAGCCAAGGGCATCACCATACCAAATTTTAGGATGTACTATAAACCATAGTAGTCAAGACAGCATGGCACTGGCACAAAAATAGAGACATAGACATTTGGAATTGAATAGAAAACCAGGAAATGAAACCAAAAAGTTACAATCACCTAATCTTCAATAAACCAAACAAGAAGATCCACTGGGGGAAAGACTCCCTATTTAATAAATGGTGCAGGGAGAACTGGATATCCACATGTAAAAGACTAAAAGTGGACCCACACCTTTCTCCATTCACAAAAATTGATTCAAGATGGATAAAGGACTTAAATTTAAGTCATGAAACAATAAAAATCCTCAAACAAAGCCTAGGAAAAACACTGGAAGATTTCAGCCTGGGGAAAGACTTTATGAAGAAGACTGTCATGGCAATTGTAACAACAACAAAAATAAACAAGTGGGATTTAATTAAAGCAAAAAGCTTCTGTATAGCTAAGGAGACAACAACCAAAACAAATAGAAAAACTACCCAATGGAAAAGGATATTTGCATATTTTGAATCAGACAAAAACTTAATAACTAGGATCTATAGAGAACTTAAATTAATCAATGAAAAAAACCAACAATCCCATACATCAATGGGAAAGAGAAATGAACAGAGCCTTCTCTAAAGAAGGCAGACAAATGGCTAGCAAACATGAAAAAATGCTCATCATCCCTAATTATTAGAGAAATGCAAATTAAAACCACCCTGACATATCATCTAACCCCAGTGAGAATGGCCCATATCACAAAATCTCAAAACTGCAGATGCTGGCACAGATGTAGAGAGAAAGGAACACTTTTACACTGCTGGTGGGATTGCAAACTAATACAACCTTTTTTGAAAGGAAGTATGGAGAAACCTCAAAGAACTCAACCTAGACCTCCCATTTAATCCTGCAGTCCCATTACTGGGCATCTATCCAGAAGGAAAAAAAGCCTTTTATTATAA